CCTGTCCACGGGGCTCGAGGTCCAGTAGGAGAGGGAGACATTACTTAACTGACCACCCAACTAGATGCCAACTGTATACGTTGTGATCAGGGCAGAGGGAGCCGAGAAAGGACTTGATTCAGCTCTAGGGACGTGGTGGCAGAGGGTGGTTCAGAAAAGGTGCATTTCCAGAACAGGAAGATGGCCGAGGACGAGCCCTGAAGGCAGGGCCAGAGCAGCAGGGGCCAGCCTCAGGGACCTGTGTGTGCCCAGGGGCGGTGGGCTTTACCAGGAGCGCCACGGACACCAGTGAATACACACAGCGCCAGAATCCTCCCCAGAGCTGTTTTCCAGCATGTTTCCTGGGCCCCATGCACAGGGCCGCAGCTGGGCCGGCTTCACCTGGCCCACTGGGCGGCAGGTGGCAGCCACTGACAGACAGTTTTGGGGTGCGGGGTCCCACAGGTGCTGACCGGATACCTGAACTATATGGTCCAGCTGGGGAAGCTGCTGGGCGGGGGGGATGAGGACACCATCCGGCCCCAGATGCAGCAGATCCTGGACTTTGAGACGGCACTGGCCAATATCACCATCCCCCAGGAGAAGCGTCGGGACGAGGAGCTCATTTACCACAAAGTGACGGCCGCCGAGCTGCAGGTACCCTGTGCGCCGGCTACTGCAGGGGCAGGGCCACTGGAGTACACAGAGTCGGACAGGGCTCTTGGGGGGAGGGGTCATACCCTTAAAGCTACCCTTGGAAGGAGGTGTTTATGCCCAGGTTACAGATAGACTGGGGCTCAGACAAGTCAGATTACCTGCTGGTGGCCACAGAGTGCAAAGGGACTCCAGAGCCAGGCTTCTTCCCTCGCCGGGCTGCTTCGTGTGACAGCGTTTCCCTAGCAGCTCCCAGTCATCCAGCACCGAGCACTGAGTAAAGGTGGGGTGTGGATCCCGACGTTGCTTCTCCCTTTGCGGAACAGGAGATGAAGAGACATGGTCAGGGCCCGGAGGCTCCCGAGGGCAGGGGTGCTGGCCCTGGGACTCAGGCCTGGCTCAGCTCTTGACCATGTCCCTAGGCAATATCCAGAGGCGTAACTGGGAGTCAGACCTGTACTTTCTGTGTGACTCACCTGCTGTCCCCTCCGTAGGTCAGCCTTGCCGAGGCTGCCCCCTGGTGGCTGCTCAGGCCTCCAGGGCCTGGGGTGGACTTCCTACTGCTTCCTTCTTTCTGGCCCGTGTGCTGTTGTTGCTGACCCGTTTGTCCTGGGCCCTGGAGGTCTCCGAGGAATGAGCAGAGTGGTCCCACGGATCTCCCTGTTCCTTGCCCTCAGGCAGGAGCGCCCGGTGGCCCTTGCTCTTCTGCTGGGGCGGACCCTGCGCCTGCGGTGGGTTCCACTGCCGGTCGGTCTTCTCCCGGCTTCTCTCCCATCCTTTCCCTCTTCCTTTGAGGAGCAAGTTCCTGCCCTTTTTTCCTCCTCCATCTGACAGATGTATCAGGGGCCACTTGGGCCCTGCTCTCCTGTGCTTCTGGTCTGGTGGGGACACTAAGAAACAATCCCAGTCTCCCTGCCTAGTGCTGTGGGCGAGAGAAGCAGGGCGCTGAGGCCCGGTGGGGAAGGGCTGGGGAAGCTGAGTGTACACCTGCCCCGCAGGGACGTTGGTGTGTGCAGGGCCTCGTGGGCTTCATTCTGGAAGTCGTGCTTCCATTGGTTTCCTGGGTGAAGTGTGTGTCCCTCTGGCCCCAGGCACAGGGCTACAGCCAGCCCTGCTCCACCCTGGCCTAATGGGCAACAGTTTGGGAGTGTTGAGTCCCTGGCTGACTAGATACCTGCACTACATGGTCCAGCTGGGAGGCTGCTGGGCCCGGGGGTTAGGGCACCACCTGGCCCCCGATGCAGCAGATCTTGGACTTTGAGACGCACTTTATCCTGAGGGCTGCGGGGGATGGGGTCTCTCAGGCACAGGTGCAGCCCATGCAAAGACCTGGGCTGAGGCAAGAAAGCCCAGCCTTCTGGTGGCACAGCTGCCCCTCGGGTTCCCAGGGAGGTTGGTGGCAGGGTGAGTGGTTTGCACGGGTTGTTATGGAGATCGGCAGCCTGTGTCGGGCACCATCTGGCACTGTTTTTCCGCTCTAAGGCCGGGAGGTGGAGGGAGATGCAGTTCGCCCCCCAGGTGCAGGGGGCCCGGCCTGAGCGCTCGCCTCACGGCTCTGACGTGGTACTCAGAGAATGGACATCAATCTGGCGTGGCCAGCAGGTTCTGCCCCGGGGCAGCATCTCCCCATTGCTTTCGCTCTCTTGTTTCATGGAAGAAAGGAAAGGTCATAACTTCAGCAGGGGCTGAAGACCACACAGTGCCTGCTGGGGGCCTGGAGTCAGAGGGTCACACCTTGAGCCGTGTGGCCTTGGCAGGTGAGGAGCCCACCCTGAGCCTTGGTTTCCTTCCAGGTAAAAAGCCCTTGCTCATCTGCTCACACCTGTTCTGTGCGGGAACAGAGACAAATGAGACACCGCCCCTACCTTCACCAGGGATAGTGGCTCTTAACTCTTAAGTCATGGAGTCTTTTGAGAACAACTCAAAAACTACAGACTGTCACCCATGAAAAATGGGCATGTGTGCATGAAAAAAACACACAGGCTAACATTTAGAGAAGTCCTGGATGCCCCCAAAACCTGACTGGCCTGCCCGCGGGTTATGAGGACATAACATGACGCAGAAGATGAGATTTTGTTTTGTAAACTGGCATGCGCAGTGGAAAAGTAGCATCCCAGAAGTAAATATCAGTAGTGCTGTGCTTTTGTGATCGGTGATATTTCTCAGGTCCCTATCACTAAATTAACTTGAATCATTCCACCCTGGGACAGAGTGTCTTCTTCTCTGGTAGCTGGAGATTTGTTTTCTTCTCCTACTCAGGATGAATCGAGGAGAGGGACTCCAGGCTTATGTGTGGTTCAAGGCTAGACCTGCTGGAACAGAATGGTGTTCCAGGCTAGCCCCAAGTGGAGTATGGATTCAGAGCCATGAGTCAGACCACCTTCTGCTGCTCTAGGGGTGGAGGGGGGCCTTCTCGTTCCTTTCTAGGACCTCCCGTCCCGCAGGCTGTTTGGGCCTCAGCCCCATCCTCTGCCATTTCTCCTGTAAAAATGAAGCCCGAAAGCACCCCCATCTTTCCCACTCCTCAGGCCTGAGTTGGTTGGTGCCCAGCGGTCCTCCTAGGCTGTGGGCGTGGGAAGCAGCTCTTGGGCCTGCCTCTAGGGGATTTGAGTCAGGGCAGAGTGTCCTAGTCCACTAAAACTGCTGCATTAGCCAGGCGCACCTGTAATCCCAGTGGCTCAGGAGGCTGAGGCAGGAGGATCGCGAGTTCCAAGGCAGCCTCAGCAAAAAGCAAGGCGCTAAGCAACTCAGTGAGACCCTGTCTCTAAAGAAAATACAAAATAGGGCTGGGGGTGTGGCTCAGTGGTCGAGCGCCCTGAGTTTAATTCCCCAGCACCAACCAACCAAACAAACAAAACTGCCACGTCCATGGAGATGGATCTCGGCACCTGCGTCTCAGGAGTTCACTGAAGCAAGACACTGAAATGTGGACGTCCTGCTGTCAGCACAAGCCTCTTTATCTCCGAGTCGTGAGAATTGCCCTGTCAGGACCCTGCTCTCCCGGAACGAGCAGGTTTGTGATGAGTAGAAGGGTTTTCCCCACCTGATGCCTCACCCTGCACCAGGATCCGCCACCTCAGTTCATGAAGCTCTCGAGAGCCCTGTAACTGATGACATTCGGTAAACTAACCCACTTTCCCAGGGTCTTTGCCGCCAGGCCATGCAGTCAGGTGACCCTGATCGTGGGACCCAGTTTGAAGGTCTCATCACACACCTCTGAATTCTGTGGCCACAGAAATGGAGAGATTGGCCTGAGGGTCTCCTGCCAGGGAGAGGGGAGGCTCCGGGCCACGGGGGAGGCCAGGCTGAGAGGCCTGCGGCAGTCAGCTCTGGGGGCAGGGTCGCTGACCCCATCTTAGGGAAAGGAGAGACAGTGCCCAGAGCTGGTTCCTGCTGGGGACTCTGATCTAGGCCTCCTCACGCCCAGCTCAATGTCACCAGCTCATGTCACCCAGCTCATGTCGCAGGGCTGTGCTGGCGCCTGCCGGCTCGGGGCCCACTGTGTGCCTCTCTTCCCAGCCTCATGGGGGTTTGCCATCGGTGTTGGTGGGAACATTCACCCAGGGATGACGCCAGTCAGCCCCCTACTGAGAACTGGTCGATGACTTGTACCAGCACAATACCGCCTTTGGGAGCTGCCCCCGCCCAGTCCCCAGCCTCATCTGTCCTTTGAGATGTTTGTTCCCCAATAGATAAGATGTCCACTTAAACCCAGGAGCAGGGGCTGGGGTTGTGGCTCAGTGGTAGAGCGCTTGCCTTGCACGTGTGAGGCACTGGGTTCAAGTCTCAGCACCACATACAAATAGAGGAAGGTATTATGTCCATCTACAACCCCCAAAAAATTAAAAAATAAAAAAAAATAAACCCAAGAACAATGGTCTTGAGGTGGAGCCCAGTGGTAAAGCCTGTGCTTACGTGCTTACTTAAGGCCCTGAGTTCAATCCCCAGCACCCCGCCAAATACACCCAGAGACGAGTGCCCTGAGTTTTATTTAACCCCCACAGTAAACCATATAACCTCAGGAAAGTCACCTTCCCTGATCAGCAAACTCAGCCTCTGTGAATTGGGGGTCTTGTGACTGACTGCCTGTCCCAGCAGGTGGGGGTGGATCTTAGGTGGCTTTATGGGTATGGTTTTCCTGTATGAAGGGAATGCATTTCTCGCTTCCCGTATTTGTCTTACATTTTGCCCTTTCAAGAGAATAGAGAATGGAGTTTGAAATCTGCCAGGCCCAGGGCCACTTTTGGAAGGTCTTAAGCGATGATGGTAATTTCTGGATTTGCTGGCTAAGTCAGGTGCCCATCCAAGTGATTGACATGTAGAGGTGTCTTTGCTAAAAGACGAGATATGCAGCCCAAAGCCTCGTGTTCTGTAAAACTGCACACTAAAAATAACTGAGCGTCTGGGGAATACAGGGCCAGAGCAGACACATTGCGCAGCTCTGCTTGAGGAAGTGACACCAAGGGACACACGCCAGCATTGAAGCCCGAATCTCTATGTGTCTGCACTTAAGCCGGGCCGCTCGGGCCAGCGTCGGACTCACAGAGACAGGTGGGGGTGGGAAGTGGAAAGCACAGAGTTCAAGTCTTGCAAAAGTCATCTGCAGCTGGGTGAGCCACATCCCCAGCCCTTTTTATTTTTCATTTTGAGACAGGGTCC